TTTTTCTTCTGTGCTCTTTTATGTGAGATATTTTCCCCTAGTCTTCCTCTTCCCTCCTCATTTTCTCATTTTCACATTCTTTCTCACCTATCCATCTTTTTTACATCATCCCAACATATTTGACTCATTCCTGCACCCAATTTCTAAGTAGAATTCTTCTCACAATCCTTATAATGATAAATATCTTAGAAGATATGTGTTTATCTTCCCATATAGAAAAGTAAACAGTTTAACCCAATAGAGTCCTTTATGATTTCCCTTTCATGTTTACCTTTTAATGTTTCTCTTGAGTCTTGTATTTGAGAGCCAAATTTTCTATTCAGCTCTGGTCTTTTCATCAGAAATACTTGGAATCTCTCTAATTAAATATCCATTTTCCTCTTGTATTTTTCCTTTTCCCTATACTCACTTTTGCTGAGTAGGTTATTATTGGTTGTAATCCCAGTGCTTTTGCCTTCTGGAATATATATTCCAAGCTGTACTCTCTTTTAATGTGATAGCTGCTAAATCTTGTGTAATCCTGACTCTGGGTCCATAGTATTTTCATGGTTTCTTTCTGGCTGCATAAACATAAAGGGTTTTCTCTTTGACCTAGCAGCCCTTGAATTTGGCTATAATATGCCTGGGAGTTTTCATTTTGGGATCTCTTTCAGATGGTGATCAGTAGATTCTTTCAGTGTCTATTTTATCCTTTGGTTCTAGGATATCAGGGTAATTTTCCTTGATAACTTCTTGAAATATGACCTTTAGACTCTTTCTTTGATCATAGTCCAGGTCAGTTGTTTTTCCAATGAGATATTTTACATTTACTTCTATTTTTTTCATCCTTTTGACTTTGTTTTATTAATTTTTGATGTCCCATGAAGTCATTAGCTTCCATTTGTCTAGTTCTAATTTTTAAGGAATTATTTTCTTCAGTGAGCTTTGGATGTATTTTTCCATTTGGCCACTTATGCTTTTGAAGGAGTTATTTTTATTAGTCAATTTTTGTAACTCTTTTTTCCATTTGGACAATTCTGGTTTTTTTTTGTTTTTGTTTTTGTTTGTTTGTTTTGTTTTGTTTTGTTTGGTGAGGCAATTGGAGTTAAGTGACTTGCCCAGAGTCACACAGCTAATAAGTGTTATGTGTCTGAGGTCAGACTTGAACTCAGGTCCTCCTGACTCCAGAGTCAGTGCTCTATGCACTGAGCCACCTAGCTGCCCCAAATTCTGGTTTTTAAGGTATTTTTTCTTCAGTATTTTTGTGCCTCTTTTAGCAAGCTGTTGTCTTTTTATAATATTCTTCCTTTGCTTTCATTTCTACCACTTTTATTTTGAAAATACCTTTTTAAGCTCTTTCAGAAATTTTTGTTCAGCTTGTGTCTATTTCACATTTTTTTCTTTGAGGCTTTGCTTGTGGCTGTTTTGACTTCATTATCTTTTTCTGAGTTTGTGTTTTGATCTTCCCTATCACCATAGTAGATGTTTATGGTTTGATTCTCTTCTTATTTGCACATTTTTTCCACCTTATTTCTTAATTTGGAACTTTATGTTAATATTGCACTCTATTCCCAGTGTTGGGTGGATGGAGGTTGGGGGTGGGAAGAGGCTTCAGACTTTTTCTCACTGCTGTTTTCAAAGCTAGTTCTGGGGGTTTGGAATTTTTCAGTGCTTCCAAAGCAATGTCATCTTGAGAGAGGTATGGTCACTGCTCTCGTTGTCTACACTCTGATCCTTATCCAGGAAGGGCCATTGATTGATTGGAATTTCAATCAATACTACTTTTCAGTGCCCCTCCTCCTTTGGGATCAGAATTGATACTGTTCTTTAGGGTCCCTAATCCCTTGGAGTTGGAAGTTATACTTCCCTATGGGGTTTCTACTCCCTTTTCACTGATAGTGTACCTCTGTGCCCTTGAACTACAACCCAGAAGTGAGTATAGTCAATGTAGTTGTCAAGCAGTGTCTGGTCCTTTGTTTAGTACTAGCACAGGAGTGCCCTGTAATTTCTTTCCTACTAGTTATTAAGTCCCTTTATCATCTTTGGTTTGAGAGTTTCTGAAGCTGCTGCTGCTTCTGTTGCCACCACCTAGTCCCACCACTGGTATTTCATCTGCATCTTTTTCATCTTCAAGAACAACCTCTACCCCCATGTCACAGATCTCTATTTCCACTTCCTATGTGGTTTGGGGGTGGAAGAATGTCTTGCTCTGGCCTCTTGTTGGCTTCGCCACTCCAGAATTCAACTTTAGGCATTATTTTTAAGTTGTTCAGAGAATGTTGGAAGAACTCTACTGAGTGCTTCTCCACTCTATCATTTTGTCTCTACCCCCAAAGTCATCTTCTGAGCCTTCTGTCTCTGAGTTTTGATAACCTCTAGGTAGACCACCAGAACTAACAAATGGGATTTTCTGAGAATAGTGCAATTTGTCAGATGAGAACATAAATGAACTTGATTGGAAATAGAGATTGCTGCCCCATGAAAGCCCCCATTGCCTGGAGTAGAATGAAAAATAAATTATTTAAATTTCATTTTCAAGAGAGATGAAGTGTTTAAGATGAATGTGTTCCTAATGAGAAGGAGCATGGTTTAGTGAAAAGAGCTCTGGCTTTAGAGCCAAAAGGCCTGGATTCAAAATCTGGTTTTACTAATTGATGTTGTGACCTTGAGTGATTCATGCCTCCTTTTTAGGCCCCATTTTTTCATTTGTAAAATGAGAGGGTAGGATTTGGTGATTTCTTTTTTTTCTTTTTTTTTTATTTTTAGAGGCAATCAGGATTAAATGACTAGCCCAGGGTCATACAGCTTGTATGTGTCAAGTGTATAAGGCTGGATTTGAATGCAGGCCCTCCTGACTCCAGGGCTGTTGCTCTATCCACTGTGCCACCTAGCTGCCCCAAATTTGGTGATTTCTAAGGTCCTTCTCCAAAATCTGAGATTTTCTGGTTCAGTGGAAGTTATCAACTGACTAGTTATCAGAAAAGGCAAAGATAGGATGCTGTACACTGGGGCCTCAGTAACATAACACAAATCAGAGATAATATGTAGAGGTGCTATGAACTAAGGCAAGAGAGGTTACATTGGAACAAAGTCTTGAAGGATAGGTGGTTATTTCAATTAAAATAGTTTAAGTAGGAGAGGATATTCATGATATAGGGAATATTAGTAAATTGATATTAACTGTTTGTTGAATAAATAATCTCATTTGATCTGGCAAAGGAAGCAAAGCAAGGATTATTATTCCCATTCAGAAGGTGGAAACAAATGAAACCCACATAGAAGAAGACACTTATATAAGGTTTTTGAATCAGTAAATGATTGAGCCTTTATCAAACTCCAGATTCTCCTGGTTACTAACCATGGGTCTTTTCATTTGCATTGGGCTATCTCCTTACAATAATGAGGGGTCTATCAGAAAGTATGATGCAGGCACCCCCCCCCACACACACACTGCTGGCTGTCTCAGCCAGGGAAGAGCATATCCTGTAGACTTTGTGGCCACTGGTAATACTAACTTGGGTATATGATCCAGGAGAGGATTCCTGCTGCCTCCCTCCCCAGGGTGTTGTGAAATTCAGATAATACGATTCATTGATTCAACAAGCATTTATTACCAATTTAGCAATCATGCTCTCCCTATGCCAGGGATGCCTACCTCTTACCAACTTCTTAGTGTTGAAATCCTACTTATATGTCAAGGCTTAAGTCAAATTGTCACCCAGTCCTTCCAAGGAGACTTTCTCAATCTGTCTGGCTCCAAGGAACTTCCTATTCTCTCATTAGGTAGATTCTCCATCTTCATTTATGATGTTCTGTGTTATGTAAGACTTGAAAAGAAAGTAGGAGCTGATCATGTGATGAAAAGCAAGGATGAACAAGGATAGCCAGTGTGTTTCATTAGCATCCTCCCAAGGTCAAGGAAACTAGAAAGAGGTCCCAACATGGTGGTTGTACCCTCACCATGAGGCAAAAAAGAACATAAGTCAAAGTTGAAAGGTATTATAAGCATGGATGGGCTGCAATCTGGATCCCTGAGAGGGAGGTTCCCACACTGCTATCACAGATTTATCACAGCATCAATCCTAAGGGAGTCCAAGACCAAGGGTTTTTAAGTTGGTACCACCTCTCCCCATGGGGTCCATGGATAGATTTCAGAAGGTCCATTAGTTTAGATGGGGAAAATTATACTTTTTTCTTTTTAATTTAACTGGTTTCCTTTATAATCTTATGTATTTTACTTTATGCATTTAAAAATCTTATTTTAAAAAGACATCTATAGATTTCATGATACTCCCAAAAGAGTCCATAGCGAAAAAAAAAAAAAAAGATAGAGGAAAGCTCACTTTAATTGTTGAAGTTAGAAGAGTCATATTAAAATCCTGTCTCTGCTGTTTACTAGCCAGGAGATATCAGACATTCCAGGGACTCAGTTTTTACCTTGGTAACAACAGAGCCATATCATATTATCTCTGAGGCCCCTTCTAGGTAGATGAGTACAGTTTAGTCCCATCAGCAATGGGACCATGTGCCGTTTTCTCCCCCAGACACTATTACTGGCCAGAGCCTCTCCATAGAGATTAATCAGTGTTGGATGTTATCGAATGTGTAAAGTTTACAGGTTCTAAAGCATAAGATATTGGCTTTGGAAATGGACTTTATAGGAGATCTCATTGCCCATTATGTCACAGAACAAAAAATGCAGGGTGAACCCACCAGAAAGGGAAGCAAGTGTCCAGAGTTTGGCTTGGCTACTCTTCACAATCCCTGGATCTGCTCAGTCCATTTGACAGTGAGTCTGGAGGTGATGGAGTTTCTAAAAGATCTATCTACTGCCTGCTACCTCCCTCCCTCCTTAAAAAGCCAGGGGTACCACACCCTTTAATAGCGTGGCACTCATTATTTGACCCTTTAAGAACAGCAAGTCAACCTGTGTGTCTTCCCTCTCTCTTGTCCTTAACAATGCCCACAGCACTTGTGTGTGTTACCTAGCAACAGGACGCTGGTGTTGAGTATGTGTCTGTTTCCTAGGAGATGAAAGTCGCTTTAGTCAAGGGCACCCAGCGCAGCCCAGTTCAGACTTCTCTCTGGTCCCTGCCTTAAGGCAATCCATCTGTCTTAGAGATTATGCCACAGTCAGGCATCCTGGTCACCCAGGAGCCTGCCCCACAGTCCGTGCAGGTCTGTGATCTTCCCCCCAAGGTCTATGAGATCGAACGCAACACAGGGCCCTACAGCTCCTCAGGGTTGGCCACAGCTGGCTTCCGGACAGCAAAGTACCTAACAGAGGAATGGTATCAGAACAACTACACCCTCTACCATGAGGCCTTTGCTGACCGTGACCACTCAGAGTGCAACCGGCATGAGTCCAAGCAGCTGGCAGCTGAGACAGAGGCCCTGAGCCAGCGCACGCAGCAGGACTCCACCAAGAAGGTAGGGGAGAGACTACAAGACATACATTTTTGGAAGTCAGAGCTACAGAGGGAGATCGAGGACCTCGAGACCGAGACTGACTTACTGATTGGTCAGAAACTGAGGCTTGAAAGGGCTCTGGATGCCACCGAAGTACCTTTCAGCATTGCCACAGACAACCTGCAATGCCGGGAGAGAAGACAACCTCCAGACCTGGTTAGGGATGTCGTGGAAATGGAGCTATTGAAGGTGCTTAATCCCCTCACCCCCTGGGGGGTGTGGCTGGAGGGATGGGTCATACTTTGCCACTTCTGAGGCAGCTGCCAAGTTACTATTTTCCTAACCATGGCCTGTATGGGACACCAATGACTGCGGTGAATGAGGGTCCCAGGGTCATGTGTCCACAGACCAGCCTGTATAAGGGCACCCATGCCCTCTCATCCACCAATTGGCTTTCGTTACTGTTGAAGGTAATGTTGCCACCTTGTAAAATGCAAACCTGTTAGGAGGAGGGTTCCACTTACCTGCAGCATGCTTCTCCCTGACAGAAGGGACCAGGGTTGAGGTTTTATTTACCACTTTGGAAGGAACAAGGGTGGAGGCAATAGAGGGCCTGAAAGGATAAATCTAGAACACGAAAGCAGAATTTATAGAGGATGAGACCCTAAAGGTTATCTAGTCCAACACTTTCATTTAACAGATGAAGAAATTAGGACTAGAAAAGAGGGACGTGCCCAAAAGTCACATTGGTAGCATATAGTGGATAAATCATCTGAATCTAGGTTCTCTGCCTCCAAATTCCACTCTCTGGACAGTGCAACATGATTTTCCCAATTTCACACTGTTTTTTGTCAATACTAGGTGGGGCCAGAATTAGTATATTGAATATTCTGTTGTGGTCAGATACATGCAGGTACTTGTGTCTTTCCTGAATATGCGGGGAAGGGTGGGGGAAAATGAAGAGAGAATGTGGTCAGAATATGGGGCTGACAAATTGTTGGGCAAGACCTTTTAAAGGGACAGTCTAGAGGTCATTATCAAGTCCAAATCACTCATCTCACAGAGAAAGAACCAGGGAAGCTAAATGGCCTATGATCATACGTAAGCATAAGAAGTAAGATTAGAACTCTTTTCACCAAACAATGCAGATTCTAGGTCTGTTGGGTTCCCTTGTCTCCTTTGTTCACACATTGCTGGGGTACTGGGAGACAGGAGACCAGGTCCCTGGTTTGGTGGCTGCCTTCATGTGCTGAAACAAGTGACTTCCCCCTACTTGCCTGCAGTTTTCCCATGAGGGGTTTATAAACAGGCATTTTCAAAGTTCCTTTTAACTTTCCTTATATCTACTACATACATGTAAGCTACATGGGATTCTGGGTCTCTCTGTTTCTGGTCAGGCTGGGTTTCGACTCTGTCCATACTTAGCTATGTCTATCCCAGTAGAGGACATGGGGAGAAGTGGACATGATTTACAAGTTCAAGATTCATTATATTGCGAAAATCCAGGTTCTGTTCCAGGGTCACCTATGGGTAATATCACATGAAGTTTGTATCATTTCCTTCATTCAGTGTCTCCATCACCCAGTGCTGCCTCAAGCTATTACCCATGTACCACCAATCCATTCCCCAGATTTTTGGAGAGTCAAGGAACATACTTCACCTTAGTAGAAGACATGCATTTAAATCCCTGCTCCTCAGCTTACTCCCTGTGTGACCTTAGGTAAGTCACTTAACCACTCAGCCTCAGTTTCCTCAATGTTCAATAAGATCTCCTCCATCCCTTTTCATTGTTGTCATTTTTCAGTCATGTTCTACTCTTTGTGACCCTATTTGGAGTTTTCTTGGCAGAAATACTGGAATGGTTTGCCATTTCCTTCTCCAGCTCATTTTACAGATGAGGAAACTGTGGCAAACAGTGCTTAAGTGACTTGCCTATAGTCGTACAGCTCGTAAGTGTCTAAGGCCAAATTTGAACTCACAAAGAAGAGTCTTCCTGACTCTAGGCCCAGCATTCCACCTACTGTGCCACCTAGTTTCTATCCCCAAATATATATTAGGACCAGTACTCACTCCGACTTTAATCAAGTCACTTCCATTCTGTTCCTCAGTTCCCTCCACTTTAAAATGCTGCTTTTCTGTTGGAAAACACATTTTTTTCCCAGTCAATACAAATGAATATTGGGGAAAGAAATACAACATAGTAAAGAAAATGAGAATTGAATTCTGGAGATTTGGGGCTTCAGTCCTGGTTCTAACATTCATTGTGCACTATGATTCAATTTCCTCTGTCACATGATGTAAATAATAATAACTCAAATAACAAAGGAGCTCCCCCATGTGCCCAGCCTTGTGCTCAGCTATGCTGTGAGGAGACAGAGATGAAAGATAGATCTGAAAGGCAGATCCACATTCTCAGGAAGCTCACAATTTAAAGTTAGGTGGCATTTACACTCACAGAACAGGTAAAGGACAGTAAATGAAACTTTATGTTCATAGAAGGAAAAATAATGCATTACCTCGAATCTCCTTAATTCATAGACTATCAGAGCTGGAAGGAACTTTCAATGTCATCTACTCCAACCCTTTCATCATACAATGGAAGAAATTGAGGTCTGAGTGGAAATGATATGCCCAAATTCATAGAGTCAATTTCTGACTGAAAGGGATTTGAAACCTAGAGTCCTGACTCCCAGGCCAGAGTTCTTATCACTTCAGTTAAAAGAACAGAAATGGTCTTTAAAATGTCTTTCTGCTCTATACTTTTCTATCATTTATCTGATAGGATTTGTCACCATGCTCTTGGCCCACAGAGAGTGTGTTACCTGGAAATCCTCTTCACTGTATAATTTAGGATACTCATAGATTTGATTGGACCATGGTTTCCAAGGCAACAGAATCCACAACCACTATCTGCAACTCATTCCAGTTTATGCAATTTAGATTTGGCTCTTCCCCCTAGCCTCACCATACCACCAAGGCAGCTTCTTCATTTCTATCCTTAGCCTAATGCTGAATTATAAAGGTCCCTGGGGCTGGTGAACATGAATGTTTCAGCCACTGTGGCTCTGTAGGGGACAAAACCATTTCTGAGGTCCTGTAGCAAGTAAAGAGAAACTCTCTCTCCATCAGACTTCTGGGTTACCAACTTGTCAGGACCTGGCCCACTTCCTGAACTTGGGACCTTAGTCTGTCATCAGATACTAGCTCTGGCTTCCCAAAGTAAATCAACAGAGTTAGCCTGTGCCTGAGATATAAACTACACCACAGGGCAGAGTTTGTTTTTGATGGTTGATAAGGTTTTCGGTGTTTTCTCTCCCAAAGGTATCTAATTTCTTTAGGAGCCATCAAAGCCCCCAAAGTCTCCAAGATCCAAAGGAATGAAACTCTACTGGTAAAATTTCAGGTACCAAGACAGAACAGTACTAAGGGAAAGGAAAGAAAAGGAAGAGAAGGGAAGGGACAGTTATTAAGCTTTTACTATATTCCAGGCACTTTACAAGTATTATCTCATTTGATGAGACAACATAATCATCTCATCAAATGTTGGGAAGTCATAGAGTGGAAAGTCAAGAGGAGCAAAGGCTTTCAGCTTTCATCATCTTATCCAATGTATATTTTTGCTTATATTTTCCACACGTAAGGTTATCCCTGGTCATAGGTAGTGGTACATAGAATGTCATCCCAATTCCATGGAAAGTGAACTGGACTAGAATTTTATGGTCTAATCTAGGCCAAGTCACGTACTTAACCTGAACCTCTGTTTCCTCATGTCTAAAATGAGTGGATTGGTTTCGATGATTTCTTAGTTCCATTCCATCACTGATGCTTTATGACTCATTATTCTCCGTAAGTCAGGCAAGTGTCCAAGGATGCACCTGTCATGTTCAGTCCTTGAAGATTCCTTACTTCTCCTACAGCAAAGCTTCTCTCAGTCTCCCTCACTTTCTAGCAAACCAAGGGAGTGTTTTCCTTTGCTAAAATAGAGCCAATCAATCAATCCAATTCAACATTTAGTAATTAAGTACCTAGTATATGGAGTACTGTACTAGGCAATGGAAGAAATAGAAAGTTCAGATTAAAGATGTCCTCTGTCCTTACAGAGACTCTGGGATCAAGAAAATAGATCTTGTAAAAAAAATTATTGAGATCATATTTTTACATCATTCTCATATCCCAATGAATCCCCCTCCCCATCACCCCATATTAAGAGAACAATTAAACAAACACACTCAAAACAAATCACACATTGGTCATATCTGAAAATAAATGCCTCACTTGAAACTTATAATCCGTCACCTCTTGGCTTATAGGTGGAAGATAATGCTTCATTATCAGTCTTCTCAAGTCATCATTGGACACTGCTTTAATCAGAGTCACAGATAACTCTGTCACATTGCTCCATCCACAATTACTTCAAAATGGGTTATTTTCTACATCTTACACGTTGCCTTCTGATCTTAGCAGGTACTTGTTCATGTCTTTCCACAAATTCTCAGTGGATGATCCACCCAAGGTGCAGGAGGCAGAAATGTCCCATTAAGGCCACCTATTTGGTGGCCTTAATTCTTGTCATGTGACCAGAGCATCTTCTTTTCAGTCTATACATGTTTTTTTTAAAGGTTTAAACATGTCTTACATGCAACCCATTATTTATAACCCAATTCATCTAATTTATTCCCACCATGCATCTTTCTATTATCCTTTAGGTTACTTGTAATATTGACTTTTCTTGGATCATGGCATGATTTTTAGCCATATAATATCAGTGGAGAATATTGGAATTTAAGAAATGGAGCTGGGCTTTTTCAATAGTGAGCAATTTAGGATCATTCAAAGTGCTGGACAGTTTCCCAGATAAGATTCCATTTAATCTCCTTCTCTTACTCAAGTATTGGCCCAGCTCATAAACCTATTTACAGCACTTTGATAAGATATATGTATATGCCCCTCCTCCAGCTATTAAAAGAAGTGCAGATGGAAAACCAGAAAAGATTCTCTTTTTTATTTAAACTTTGTGTCTCCTTCACATGTACACACATGTATCCACCCGTGTGGATTTTTACAAATGTGTGTATACGTGTATTTCCTGGAGTGATGCAGATACCAACCCTTGCCTTATGTATGTCTCCACATACATAAATATATACATACATACAAGTGTATTCAGTTGATGAGATGCCCATTCAGCTGCATTTCATTCAGGAATAGGGAACCTGTGGCCTCAAGGCCATGTCTCTTTCTAGGTCCTT